GGGGAAGAGGAAGAGGAAGAGGCAGAGACAGAGGCAGAGACAGAGACAGAGACAGAGGCAGAGACAGAGGAAGAGGCAGAGACAGAGACAGAGACAGTGAGTGTAACCGTGGAATCATCAATGACACAGGACTGATTGTGCAGAGACAGGACTTACAGGTACCATGTGTGCTTCTGGATCTGCTCCAACTGTGAACGAGACCAGGGAGTTAGTGAGAGGCTCGGTGTGGTCCGAGGGGGAGGAGAGGGGAGGAGAGAGGAGAAGAGAGGAGAGGAGAGGAGGAGAGAGGAGAGGAGAGAGAGAGGAGGAGAAAGACGAGAGGAAAGAGGGGAGAGAAAATAGAGAGAGTATTGATTTCTCTGTCCGTGAAATCAGTGTGAGGACTCTGCACAGCGTAATGAGTTTGTAAGCGGAGACGTTTGGACAGATGAGGTGGGGGTGTGAGGGTGAGTGATGGGGGAGGCCCTCACCGTGAACCTCTTGCCAGGGTCCACCTGGATCATGCCCTTCAGGAGGCTCTGACAGTCGGGGGGAATGAAGTGAGGCATGTGGAACACCCCCAACTTCACCTTCTCCAGGAGGTTACGGAGGTTATCATCATCAAAGGGAAGGGCGCCCTAAAGACACACACACAGACACAGACACACACACACACACACACACACACACACACACACACACAGACACACACACACCAAGACACACAGAGATACACACAGATACACACACACATACACAGACACACACACACACACATACACAGACACACACACACACACACACACACACACAAAGACACACACAGATACACACAGACACACACACACAGAGACAAACACACAGACACAGACACACACACACACACACACACACACATACACAGACACACACACACACACACACATACACAGACACACACACACACACACACACACAGACACACACATGTCCATTATAATGTCATTATCTCCGGTCTCTCTTCTCCCTCTCTCTGGTCTCTCTCTGGTCTCTCTCTGGTCTCTCTCTGGTCTCTCTCTGGTCTCTCTCTGGTCTCTCTCTGGTCTCCCTCTGCTCTCTCTCTGCTCCCTCTCAGCTCTCTCTGGTCTCTCACCCTCAGAGTTTCTTTTCTTTACCAAGTGAATGTTTGCAGACTCACCACTAAGAGAGCGAACAGAATGACTCCACAGCTCCAGGCGTCTGCTCTCCTCCCGTCGTACTTCTCTCCCTGAAGAAGAAGGAGAAGAAGAAGAAGAAACATTCAGGAGTCGGAACAAACTCAGGACAGAAGCTTTAACCAGCAGCAAACTTAACTCACCCGGATCACCTCTGGACAGGCGTAATGTGGGGACCTGCAACACACACACACACATATATATGTATCTACAGAGAGAGAGAGACCAGAGAGAGACCAGAGAGAGACCAGAGAGAGACCAGAGAGAGACCAGAGAGAGACCAGAGAGAGACCAGAGAGAGACCAGAGAGAGCAGAGATAAAGAAAGGAGAGAGAGCAGAGATAGAGAGAGGAGAGAGAGAGCAGGGAGAGAGCAGAGAGAGAGACCAGAAAGAGAGCAGAGAGAGAGACCAGAGAGAGACCAGAGAGAGAGACCAGAGAGAGAGGAGAGAGAGCAGAGAGCAGAGATAGTGAGAGGAGAGAGAGAGACCAGAGAGAGAGACCACAGGGAGAGACCAGCAAGAGGCAGAGGCACCAGGGAGAGAGAACACAGTAAGATACCACAGTGAGAGACCAGAGTGAGACCGGAGAGAGACCGGAGAGAGACCAGAGACAGACCAGAGAGAGACCGGAGAGAGACCAGAGAGAGACCAGAGACAGACCAGAGAGAGACCGGAGAGAGACCAGAGAGAGAGCAGAGAGAGAGACCGGAGAGGGACCAGAGTGAGACCAGAGAGAGACCAGAGAGAGACCAGAGACAGACCAGAGAGAGACCGGAGAGAGACCAGAGAGAGAGCAGAGAGAGAGACCGGAGAGGGACCAGAGTGAGACCGCACTCACCCACAGCTGGTCTCCAGGAGGCTGTCCCCGACCTGCAGGGAGGCCATCCCGAAGTCTGCGATGCGGATGTTGTTCTTCTCGTCCAGAAGGAGGTTCTCAGGCTTCAGGTCTCTGTGACTGAACCAGGAGGAGACAGTTTATACTGGTACTACTACTGCTGGTACTACTGCTACTACTACTGCTACTACTACTACTACTACTACTACTACTACTACTACTACTACTACTACTACTACTACTACTACTACTGCTACTACTACTACTACTGCGGCTACTGCTAATGCTACTGCTACTGCTACTACTACAGCTGCTAATACTATGGCTGGTGATACTTGTGGTGCAGTAGTGATAGTAGTAGTAGCAGTAGTCGTAGTAGCAGTAGAAGTACCAGTAGTAGTATATACAGACCATATGGAGTGGCTGTGGCAGAAGTCCAGAGCGGAGATGATTTGTCTGAAGAACTTTCGAGCCTCTTTGGGAGTGAGACGTCCTTTCTTCACCAGGTAATCAAACAACTCTCCTCCAGAAACATGCTCCAGGACCAGGTACCTGAGGACACACATGGTTAGGGACCAGAGAGGGACCAGAGAGAGACCAGAAAGAGACGAGAGAGAGGACAGAGAGAGACCAGAGAGAGACCAGAGAGAGAGACGAGAGAGACTAGAGAGAGACTAGAGAGAGACCAGAGAGAGAGACGAGAGAGACTAGAGAGAGACTAGAGAGAGACTAAAAAGAGACTAGAGAGAGACTAGAGAGAGACCAGAGAGAGACCAGAGAGAGAGACGAGAGAGACTAGAGAGAGACTAGAGAGAGACCAGAGAGAGACCAGAGAGAGACCAGAGAGAGAGAGACCAGAGAGAGACCAGCGAGAGACCAAAGAGAGACCAGAGAGAGACCAGAGAGAGATCAGAGAGAGACCAGCGAGAGACCAAAGAGAGACCAGAGAGAGACCAGAGAGAGACCAGAGAGAGACCAGACAGAGACCAGAGAGAGAGACCAGACAGAGACCAGAGAGAGATAATGTAATGCTTTGACAGTAGTTTGAAAGCAGAGCGTTTGGACAGAAGGGTTGGGGGGACTCACAGGTACTTCTTGTTCTCGTAGACGTCGTACAGCTTCAGGACGTGCGGGTGTTCGATGAGCTTCAAGATGGCGATCTCCCGCTCCACCTGACCACAACAACCCCAACGACCACAACAACCACAAGGTTAGTAGTGATTTAAAATACTGTGAAAGGTCCTAATGTGGGTCACCTTTCCTGGTCTCATTGTTTCATGGTCTCATAGTGTCATTGTCTCATGGTCTCATGGTCTCATGGTCTTGTGCAATTGTGCTTTTTTACAGTGTGTTTCTCATATTGTCTCCCTCTGGTCTCTCTCTTTAGTCTCTCCCTCTGGTCTCTCTCTGGTCTCTCCCTCTGGTCTCTCTCTGGTCACCCTCTGGTCTCTCTCTGGTCTCTCTCTGGTCTCTCTCTGGTCTCTCTCTGGTCTCTCTCTGGTCTCCCTCTGGTCTCTCTCTGGTCTCTCTCTGGTCTCCTTCTGGTCTCCCTCTGGTCTCCCCCTGGTCTCCCTCTGGTCTCCCTCTGGTCTCTCTCTGGTCTCCCTCTGGTCTCCCTCTGGTCTCTCTCTGGTCTCCCTCTGGTCTCCCTCTGGTCTCCCTCTGGTCTCCCTCTGGTCTCTCTCTGGTCTCCCTCTGGTCTCCCTCTGGTCTCCCTCTGGTCTCCCTCTGGTCTCTCTCTGGTCTCCCTCTGGTCTCTCTCTGGTCTCTCTCTGGTCTCCTTCTGGTCTCCCTCTGGTCTCCCCCTAGTCTCCCTCTGGTCTCCCTCTGGTCTCTCTCTGGTCTCACTCTGGTCCCCCTCTGGTCTCCCTCTGGTCCCCCTCTGGTTTCTCTCTGGTCTCCCTCTGGTCTCCCTTTGGTCTCTCTCTGGTCTTCCTCTGGTCTCTCTCTGGTCTCTCTCTTTCTCCCTCTGGTCTCTCTCTGGTCTCCCTCTGGTCTCCCTTTGGTCTCTCTCTGGTCTCCCTCTGGTCTCTCTCTGGTCTCTCTCTTTCTCCCTCTGGTCTCCCTTTGGTCTCTCTCTGGTCTCCCTCTGGTCTCTCTCTGGTCTCCCTCTGGTCTCTCTCTGGTCTCCCTCTGGTCTCTCTCTGGTCTCCCTCTGGTCTCTCTCTGGTCTCCCTTTGGTCTCTCTCTGGTCTCCCTCTGGTCTCTCTCTGGTCTCCCTCTGGTCTCTCTCTGGTCTCCCTCTGGTCTCTCTCTGGTCTCCCTCTGGTCTCTCTCTGGTCTCTCTCTGGTCTCTCTCTGGTCTCTCTCTGGTCTCTACGCTCCCACAGACCATACAGTACCAACCAAAACATGAGCTGAAAACAAACCATTTTTATTCTATGTTTATGGTTCTATTTTGCTGAACGTAACGGAAATAAAATGTCTAAATTTTGTGTAATAACAGTGTTAATTGAACGATACCAGAAAGGACCATGAAGGAAAACCAGACTGAGCAGAATCCATGGTCTTCAGGGGAATCTTTAAGTCACTTCAAATATAATAATAAAATAATAATAATAAAATACTAATGATAATAGAATAAGCTCTATATAAAAACTACACTGAAAACCAACTGTTTTTCTGTCCTGGTCTCGAACCCATGTCTAAGTGTAAACAATGTGGATTTAACTAATGTTTGTGAATAAATACATAATTAATAGACAAATATTAATAATAAAACATCAATAAATAAAAAAAGGAGGGAGAGAAAGATCAGGAAGCAGTGAGGAAAGAGCTGAGTCCTCGATGGTCTCTGCTCCACCCACCCTCCACCCTCTGGGGGCGGGGCCAGTGGAGCAGTCCCATTCATAAAGCAGAGGAGGGGGCGGGACTGGAGCGAGCCAATCAGAGCGCACAGAGGTGATGTAAGCGCTGAGGAGGACACTGATGCTGCGTTCAGGGGAGAAAGGAAAACACAGAGACCAGAGGGAGACCAGAGGGAGACCAGATGGAGACCAGAGAGAGACCAGAGGGAGACCAGATGGAGACCAGAGAGAGACCAGAGGGAGACCAGAGGGAGACTAGAGAGAGACCAGAGAGAGACCAGAGGGAGACCAGAGGGAGACCAGAGAGAGACCAGAGGGAGACCAGAGGGAGACCAGGGGGAGACCAGAGGGAGACCAGAGGGAGACCAGGGGGAGACCAGAGGGAGACCAGAGGGAGACTAGAGAGAGACCAGAGAGAGACCAGAGGGAGACCAGAGGGAGACCAGAGATTGAGACCAGAGAGAGACCAGAGAGAGACCAAAAAGAGAGACCAAAAAGAGAGACCAGAGAGAAACCAGAGGGAGACCAGAGGGAGACTAGAGAGAGACCAGAGAGAGACCAGAGGGAGACTAGAGAGAGACCAGAGGGAGACCAGAGAGAGACCAGAGAGAGACCAGAGATTGAGACCAGAGAGAGACCAGAGAGAGACCAAAAAGAGAGACCAAAAAGAGAGACCAGAGAGAGAGACCAGAGAGACCAAAAAGAGAGACCAGAGAGAGACCAGAGAGAGACCAGAGGGAGACTAGAGGGACCAGAGGGAGACCAGAGAGGGAGACCAGAGAGAGACCAAAAAGAGAGACCAGAGAGAGAGCAGAGGGAGACTAGAGGGACCAGACGGAGACCAGAGGGAGACCAGAGGGAGACCAGAGAGACCAGAGAGACCAAAAAGAGAGACCAGAGGGAGACCAGAAAGAGACATTTCTGAACGTAGTCGTCCCGCTCTCTCTGAACCAATGGCTCCTATGTTTATGTTAATATCACTTTTCCTTGATCTGAACTGTTTTTCAAATAAAACTGAATTATTTAGTCCATTTTCTGTGGACTCTTTATTTATAAATGTCTTGTGTTTTGATATTTCTCTGAGCCGCAGTCGTGTGTGAGATGTGCTATAAAATGAAAATAAAAATATGAATATAAACACTGTTCCTTGCTCCATTCCTTCAGTGACAGAGGAGGATGTGAAGGCAGCATGACACAGTTTGCTGCACACTTTCTCTGCCGTCTGTCGCTCCTCCCCCCTCCTCCCCCTCCCCCTCCCCCTCCTCCCCCTCCCCCTCCTCCCCCGTCTCTCACCCTCTGCTTCTATTGTGAGAGGATAAAACGCAACTTCAGCCAATCAGCAGACAGTTTCCATGACAACGGAGCTCAAAATACTGCACACAGACACACACACAGACACACACATACACACAGACACACACACAGACACACGCACACACACACACACACACACACAGACACACACAGACACACACACACGCAGACACACACACACACACAGACACACACACACAGACACACACACACAGACACGCACACACACACAGACACACACAGACGGGGGAATCCCTCTCCTCAGCCTGACACACTGAGAGAGAAAGCGTTCAAAAAGAACTGTATCCGGTCTCTGGTCTCTCTCTGGTCTCTCTCTCTGGTCTCTCTCTCTGGTCTCTCTCTCTGGTCTCTCTCTGGTCTCTCTCTCTGGTCTCTCTCTCTGGTCTCTCTCTCTGGTCTCTCTCTCTGGTCTCTCTCTCTGGTCTCTCTCTCTGGTCTCTCTTTCTGGTCTCTCTCTCTGGTCTCTCTCTCTGGTCTCTCTCTGGTCTCTCTCTGGTCTCTCTCTCTGGTCTCACTCTGGTCTCACTCTGGTCCCCCTCTGGTCTCCCTCTGGTCCCCCTCTGGTCCCCCTCTGGTCCCCCTCTGGTCTCACTCTGGTCTCACTCTGGTCCCCCTCTGGTCTCCCTCTGTTCCCCCTCTGGTCTCACTCTGGTCCCTGGTCACATGTCCATCACCTTCATCAGCACAGACTCGCTCAGCTTTTCTCTGTTGACAATTTTGATGGCGACTTTCTGATTGGTCACACAGTGTACGGCCAACTTCACCAGACCTGGAACACAACAGGACAATCAGTCAGAGAGAGACCAGAAGGAGACCAGAGAGACCAGAAGGAGACCAGAAGGAGACCAGAGAGACCAGAAGGAGACCAGAGAGACCAGAGAGACCAGAAGGAGACCAGAGAGACCAGAAGGAGACCAGAGAGACCAGAAGGAGACCAGAGAGACCAGAAGGAGACCAGAAGGAGACCAGAAGGAGACCAGAGAGACCAGAAGGAGACCAGAGAGACCAGGGAGACCAGAGAGACCAGAAGGAGACCAGAGAGACCAGAAGGAGACCAGAGAGACCAGAAGGAGACCAGAGAGACCAGAAGGAGACCAGAAGGAGACCAGAGAGAGACCAGAGAGAGAGAGACCAGTGAGAGAGACCAGAGAGAGACCAGTGAGAGAGACCAGAGAGAACAATTAAACATTTTAGCAGTTGTTTTAACAGTCAACAATAAGAGCACTGTCATATTCCACTCATACAAATGGTAGAATTAGCTCTGGTGCTAGCAAAGAAGCTATACTCTGGTGCTAGCAAAGATGCTATACACTGGTGCTACACTAGTTTTCAGATGTTTGATCAGTTGCAGGTTTTATACGTGTGTTTTTTAATCCACCTTGTGACAGTTTTAATTTGATCTTGTCACTTGTTTACTTCTAGTTAGCTTGCGACTTCGTGAGATCACCATGGCAACATGTGCTTCACAGCTGTCTGCTGGCCCTGGTCTGGTGCGGGTCTGGTCGGTCCCGGTCTGGGTATGGTCCAGGTCTGGGTCTGGTTTAGTCTAGGTTTGGTCTAAGTTCTAACAGTCTAATAATAGAACACCCCCCCTCCCTCCTCCCCTCTCCTCCCCCTTCTCAGTCTTTGCTTAAACCATCCCACTCTGAAGCACGGTTTGTCTGCCACACAAAGCCCTGCCCTGGGGCAGACGCGGCTCTATGGAGGCAACTCTGAGAGGATTCACTGAGATGTGGAGGACTAAAAACAGCTCCAGTCATTACTCTGTTTATCCACAGTCAGAGGTCCCTGTGAGTCAGAGGTCCCTGTGAGTCAGAGGTCCCTGTGAGTCAGAGGTCCCAGTGAGTCAGAGGTCCCAGTGAGTCAGAGGTCCCTGTGAGTCAGAGGTCCCTGTGAGTCCGAGAGGTCCCTGTGAGTCAGAGGTCCCTGTGAGTCCGAGAGGTCCCTGTGAGTCAGAGGTCCCTGTGAGTCAGAGGTCCCTGTGAGTCAGACAGGTCCCTGTGAGTCAGAGGTCCCTGTGAGTCAGAGGTCCCTGTGAGTCAGAGTGGTCCCTGTGAGTCAGAGGGAGGTCCCTGTGAGTCAGAGATCCCTGTGAGTCAGAGGTCCCTGTGAGTCAGAGAGGTCCCTGTGAGTCAGAGGTCCCTGTGAGTCAGACAGGTCCCTGTGAGTCAGAGAGGTTCCTGTGAGTCAGAGTGGTCCCTGTGAGTCAGAGAGGTCCCTGTGAGTCAGTAGTCCCTGTGAGTCAGTAGTCCCTGTGAGTCAGAGTGGTCCCAGTGAGTCAGAGGTCCCTGTGAGTCAGAGGGAGGTCCCTGTGAGTCAGAGATCCCTGTGAGTCAGAGAGGTCCCTGTGAGTCAGAGGTCCCTGTGAGTCAGAGGGAGGTCCCTGTGAGTCAGAGATCCCTGTGAGTCAGAGAGGTCCCTGTGAGTCAGAGGTCCCTGTGAGTCAGACAGGTCCCTGTGAGTCAGAGAGGTTCCTGTGAGTCAGAGAGGTCCCTGTGAGTCAGAGAGGTCCCTGTGAGTCAGAGGTCTCTGTGAGTCAGAGGTCCCTGTGGTTTAGAGGTCCTTGTGAGTCAGAGAGAGGTCCCTGTGAGTCAGTATCTGCCTCTTTGGGCTGAGTGAAGGTGGTTCTCTCTGGCTTCAGGTGTGACAGCTGCCAATAATACATGATGTGATAGAAAACTAGATCCAGTCCCAGACTCAGACCCAGACTCAGACTCAGACTCGGACCAGACCAGGACTAGACCAGACCAGAACCAAAACTAGTTTTACAAAAAAAAAAGTTTTAGAGCCAGGAAGAATTGAGATGGATTATATTACAGAGTTCTGTTGTTGTGGTCTAAAAGTTAGCAGACTAGACCCAGACCAGACCAGACCAGACCAGACACACATCAAGACCTAGAACCAGACCAGGACCAGACCCAAAGCAGACCAAACCTGACCCAGGCAAGACCATATCCACACCCAGGCCCAAGCCAGACACAGACCCAGACCTACCAAAAGTATTCACCCCCCTGGGCTTTGTGCCTATTTTGTTACATTACAGCCTTTAGTTCAATGTTTTTTAATCTGAATTTCATGTGATGGATCAGAAAACAATAGTCTAAGTTGGTGAAGTGAATTGAGAAATATATGTACATTAAACTATTTTTCAGAAATAAAAAACTGGAACTTGGCATGTGCAAATGTATTCACCCCCTTTGTTATGAAGCCCATAAAAAGCTCTGTCGCAACCATTTACCTTCAGAAGTCACATAAACAGTTAAATGATGTCCCCCTGTGTGCAATCTGAGAGTCACTTGACCTGTCAGTACATACACACCTTTAAGAGTCACATGACCTGTCAGTACATACACACCTTTAAGAGTCACATGACCTGTCAGTACATACACACACCTTTAAGAGTCACATGATCTGTCAGTACATATACACACCTTTAAGAGTCACATGACCTGTCAGTACATACACACCTTTAAGAGTCACATGACCTGTCAGTACATACACACCTTTAAGAGTCACATGATCTGTCAGTACATAATATACACACCTTTAAGAGTCACATGACCTGTCAGTACATACACACACCTTTAAGAGTCACATGACCTGTCGGTACATATACACCTTTAAGAGTCACATGACCTGTCAGTACATATACACACCTTTAAGAGTCACATGACCTGTCAGTACATACACACCTTTAAGAGTCACATGATCTGTCAGTACATATACACACCTTTAAGAGTCACATGACCTGTCAGTACATACACACACCTTTAAGAGTCACATGACCTGTCAGTACATATACACACCTTTAAGAGTCACATGACCTGTCAGTACATATACACACCTTTAAGAGTCACATGACCTGTCAGTACATACACATCTTTAAGAGTCACTTGACCTGTCAGTACATACACACCTTTAAGAGTCACATGACCTGTCAGTACATACACACCTTTAAGAGTCACATGACCTGTCAGTACATACACACCTTTAAGAGTCACATGACCTGTCAGTACATACACACCTTTAAGAGTCACATGACCTGTCAGTACATACACACCTTTAAGAGTCACATGACCTGTCAGTACATACACACACCTTTAAGAGTCACATGATCTGTCAGTACATACACACCTTTAAGAGTCACATGACCTGTCAGTACATACACACACCTTTAAGAGTCACATGATCTGTCAGTACATACACACCTTTAAGAGTCACATGACCTGTCAGTACATACACACCTTTAAGAGTCACATGACCTGTCAGTACATACACACACCTTTAAGAGTCACATGATCTGTCAGTACATATACACACCTTTAAGAGTCACATGACCTGTCAGTACATACACACCTTTAAGAGTCACATGACCTGTCAGTACATACACACACCTTTAAGAGTCACATGATCTGTCAGTACATATACACACCTTTAAGAGTCACATGACCTGTCAGTACATATACACACCTTTAAGAGTCACATGATCTGTCAGTACATACACACACCTTTAAGAGTCACATGATCTGTCAGTACATAATATACACACCTTTAAGAGTCACATGACCTGTCAGTACATACACACACCTTTAAGAGTCACATGATCTGTCAGTACATACACACACCTTTAAGAGTCACATGATCTGTCAGTACATAATATACACACCTTTAAGAGTCACATGACCTGTCAGTACATACACACACCTTTAAGAGTCACATGACCTGTCGGTACATATACACCTTTAAGAGTCACATGACCTGTCAGTACATATACACCCCTTTAAGAGTCACATGACCTGTCAGTACATATACACACCTTTAAGAGTCACATGATCTGTCAGTACATACACACCTTTAAGAGTCACATGACCTGTCAGTACATATACACCTTTAAGAGTCACATGATCTGTCAGTATATACACACCTTTAAGAGTCACATGATCTGTCAGTACATACACACCTTTAAGAGTCACATGACCTGTCAGTACATATACACACCTTTAAGAGTCACATGATCTGTCAGTACATACACACCTTTAAGAGTCACATGACCTGTCAGTACATACACACCTTTAAGAGTCACATGATCTGTCAGTACATAATATACACACCTTTAAGAGTCACATGACCTGTCAGTACATATACACACCTTTAAGAGTCACATGACCTGTCAGTACATATACACACCTTTAAGAGTCACATGACCTGTCAGTACATACACACCTTTTGAAAGGCCTCAGAGGCTGCGACACCGAAGCAAGAGGCACCACTGACCAAACACTGCCATGAAGACCAAGGAACTCTCCAAACAAGTCAGGGACAGTGTTGTTAACTTACTTACTTACTTACTTACTTACTTGTTGACAAGTACACGTCAGGGTTAGGTTATAAAAAAATATCCAAATCTTTGATGATCCTCAGGAGCACCATCAAATCTATCATAACCAAATGGAAAGAACTTGGCACAACAGCAAACCTGCCAAGAGACGGCCGCCCACCAAAACTCACGGACCGGGCATTAATCAGAGAGGCAGCACAGAGACCTAAGGTAACCCTGGAGGAGCTGCAGAGTTCCACAGCAGAGACTGGAGCATCTGTACATAGGACCACAATAAGCCGTACGCTCCATAGAGTTGGGCTTTATGGCAGAGTGGCAGAAGAAAGACATTACTTTCAGCAAAAAACAAAATGGCACGTTTTGAGTTTGCGAAAAGGCATGAGGGAGACTCCCAAAATGTGTGGAAGAAGGTGCTCTGGTCTGATGAGACTAAAATTTAACTTTTCGGCCGTCAAGGAAAACGCTATGTCTGGTGCAAACCCAACACATCACATCACCCAAAGAACACCATCCCCACAGTGAAACATGGTGGTGGCAGCATCATGCTGTGGGGATGTTTTTCAGCAGCCGGGACTGGGAAACTGGTCAGAGTTGAGGGAAAGATGGATGGTGCTAAATACAGGGATATTCTTGAGCAAAACCTGTACCGGGGGGGGGGGGGCGCGCGTGGTCATGTACCGAGCGCGGACCATAGACGCGCGTGGTCATGTACCGAGCGCGGACCATAGACGCGCGTGGTCATGTACCGAGCGCGGACCATAGACGCGCGTGGTCATGTACCGAGCGCGGACCATAGACGCGCGTGGTCATGTACCGAGCGCGGACCATAGACGCGCGTGGTCATGTACCGAGCGCGGACCATAGACGCGCGTGGTCATGTACCGAGCGAGGACCATAGACGCACGTGGTCATGTACCGAGCGAGGACCATAGACGCGCGTGGTCATGTACCGAGCGAGGACCATAGACGCGCGTGGTCATGTACCGAGCGCGGACCATAGACGCACGTGGTCATGTACCGAGCGCGGACCATAGACGCACGTGGTCATGTACCGAGCGCGGACCATAGACGCACGTGGTCATGTACCGAGCGCGGACCATAGACGCACGTGGTCATGTACCGAGCGCGGACCATAGACGCGCGTGGTCATGTACCGAGCGCGGACCATAGACGCGCGTGGTCATGTACCGAGCGAGGACCATAGACGCACGTGGTCATGTACCGAGCGAGGACCATAGACGCACGTGGTCATGTACCGAGCGCAGACCTCAGACGCGCGTGGTCATGTACCGAGCGAGGACCATAGACGCGTGTGGTCATGTACCGAGCGCGGACCATAGACGCACTTGGTTATGTACCGAGCGCGGACCATAGACGCGCGTGGTCATGTACCGAGCGCAGACCTCAGACGCGCGTGGTCATGTACCGAGCGCGGACCATAGACGCGCGTGGTCATGTACCGAGCGCGGACCATAGACGCGCGTGGTCATGTACCGAGCGAGGACCATAGACGCGCGTGGTCATGTACCGAGCGCGGACCATAGACGCGCGTGGTCATGTACCGAGCGCGGACCATAGACGCGCGTGGTCATGTACCGAGCGCGGACCATAGACGCACGTGGTCATGTACCGAGCGCGGACCATAGACGCGCGTGGTCATGTACCGAGCGTGGACCATAGACGCGTGTGGTCATGTACCGAGCGAGGACCATAGACGCGCGTGGTCATGTACCGAGCGCGGACCATAGACGCGCGTGGTCATGTACCGAGCGCGGACCATAGACGCACGTGGTCATGTACCGAGCGAGGACCATAGACGCGTGTGGTCATGTACCGAGCGCGGACCATAGACGCACGTGGTCATGTACCGAGCGCGGACCATAGACGCGTGTGGTCATGTACCGAGCGAGGACCATAGACGCGTGTGGTCGTGTACCGAGCGAGGACCATAGACGCACGTGGTCATGTACCGAGCGAGGACCATAGACGCACGTGGTCATGTACCGAGCGCGGACCATAGACGCACGTGGTCATGTACCGAGCGCGGACCATAGACGCACTTGGTCATGTACCGAGCGAGACCATAGACGCGCGTGGTCATGTACCGAGCGAGGACCATAGACGCGCGTGGTCATGTACCGAGCGCGGACCATAGACGCGCGTGGTCATGTACCGAGCGAGGACCATAGACGCGCGTGGTCATGTACCGAGCGCGGACCATAGACGCGCGTGGTCATGTCCTATTTGTTGTTTTCTTAACAATAAAAAAAAGACATCTTCAAAGTTGTGGCATGTTCTGTAAATTAACTGATGCAAATCCTCAAACAATCCATGTTAATTCCAGGTTGTGAGGCAAAAAACACACAAAATGCCAAGGGGGGGGTGAATACTTTTGCAAGATACTGTATAGACCTAGACCCTGACAAGACCAAGAAGCAAACACACACACGTTCATAGACCAGCGTGCGCAGACAGTACAAGTGTCTTGCCCAAGGACACACCAGCAGCTGTGAGTCCAGTTTGATTTGTTTTGGTTTGAAATTTACACACCTCAGCTTTAATCCTTAATCCTTATTTCATTTATATATACCGCCTTTTCACTGCACATCGGAGTCTCAAAGCGGTTTACAATTGTTATTTTTTTTGGGAGTGGGAGTGCCAGTACAGGAGGCACATGCCAGACCTATTGTACATATTTTTAGTGGTAGGGGAAACCGGAGCACCTGGAGGAAACCTACGCAGACACGGGGAGAACATGCAAACTCCACTCAGAAAGGCCCTGGTCCAACCGGGATTCGAACCCAGGACCTTCTTGCTGAGAGGCGAGAGTGCTATCCACTCAGCCACCGTGCCGCCTTTAATCTGCTGCGTTTTTGTGCAGAAAAATCTGAGCACCGGAAATTGTGTGTGTGTGTCTGTGTGTGTGTTTGTGTCTGTGTGTGTCCGTCTCTATGTGTGTGTGTGTGTGTGTGTGTCTGTGTGTGTGGGTGTGTGTGTGTGTCCGTCTCTATGTGTGTGGGTGTGTGTCTGTGTGTGAGGGTGGGTGTGTGTGTCCGTCTCTATGTGTGTGTGTGTGTGACTTTGTGTGTCCGTCTCTATGTGTGTGTGGGTGTGTGTGTATTTGTGTGTAGGTGTGTCTGTGTGTGTGTGTGTGTGTGTTTGTATGTCTGTGTGTGTGTGTCTGTCTCTATGTGAGCGTGTGTGTGTGTGTCTATGTGTGTGTGTGTGTGTGTGTTTGTATGTCTGTGCGTGTGTGTCTGTCTCTATGTGTGTGTGTGTGTGTGTGTTTGTATGTCTGTGCGTGTGTGTCTGTCTCTATGTGTGTGTGTGTATGTCTGCATGTATGCATGTGTTTCTATGTGTGTCTATTTTTGTTTGTGTGTGTTTTGGGGGAGACTAGAAGGCTCCCCAGGGTCTTAGGGAGAGTGGGGTTAAGCTGCTATTACTCCACATCTCAATCTGGACTCAATCCTTTAAAACAGTTATAAATCCAGAAACAAGAGAAAATCACA